CACTTAGCAGGATAATAAAGGAAATCATCCTTGATTATCAGTGCTAATTTGGACACTGCCGGTAGCTTGTTATGCGTGTTCTGAGTAGCATTTAATTAATTCAATTGCTTGTTAATGAGGGAAGTGACATGTGGGGAGCAGATGCCACCCAACTGCAGATGGGTTCTGGTCAGCCCTTCACAATAAAATCTTTTTATTTTTATTTTTTTTTATTTTTTTTTTTTAATAAAACCACCCTTCCCCCACCCCTGAAATGGGAAAGGTGGCAAGCATGGAGGAGCATTCAAAAGGCACAAAACACTGACCTCATCAGGCCAAGAACCGCTAAGAAACCAAGACCTGACAATTGCGGATGGAGAGGTACCGATGTTCCCCCAGGCCCCATTTGTAACGCCGCGGCCTTATGCCAGGAATCGGAGACCAACAGGACTACAACAGCAATCCGATGGCCAAAAGGAACAAGAAATGAGGGAGAGGTGAAATGGAGCATCCTTACCAGAGTCAGGATACGATACCGGGATCTTAACTACTCAGTTGCCCTGGCTTGCCCTTTATCTGTACTGTCCGTAACGAAGGAATAATTATTTTTAACAAAAAAAAAAAAAAAAAGATAGCGGGGTTTAATAGTTTTCATAGAAGTCACTCTGCAGTCATCCCCCCAAAACAGTGCATGCCCAGCAGAGCGGACACCAGCCTCGGAACACCAAGCCAGGCTTCGGCTTAGGATTATAAAAATTTGCTAAATATAGTCGAGCTGCAGAATGTTTTTTCTGACGCCATTAAATTCAGTTTATTACTGAGCGAGGAAGCAAACTGGATCTTATGTCGTAAGGTGAAAGTCAACTCCCGACACTGCCGGCTCCTACCTCCAGACTTCTCAGACAGCGTTGAAAACCTCTTTTTTCTTAGGACCTTTGGTAACCAGAGTAAACAGGGTGACTGCTATGCAAACAGACTACCTGAGCAAAATTGCAGCCGACGCTCCAACCTCCAAGCTCCGTTTAAAGAGCCGACGCTTGAGGCTGCCTCGGCCGAGCTTAGAACTACACTTCTACTAACCACTCATCCCTCACTTCAAAAATACCTTTCTAATGGAGTCGGAGGTTCTTCCTATTTATGAATACACTGAAAAAGACGCCGAAATGGTGGAGCCCTTTACGGTTCGCACGTAGCAAATGCAAATATTCAGCATCATTCGAGCAGGAGAACAAAAAGCATGGCTGGGATGGTGCCCTCCCTCCTCTTGGCCAGGTGGAGGTGGCCTCGTTGCTGGCACATCCACCCCAGCGAGACAGAGATGGAGACCTTGGGAGCTCAGAGAAAGATGGTGAGGGCCAGGGAGCAGATAATCACCTCTGGAGTTGGCAGAGGCATGCCGGCAGCTCGTCTCGTTTGGAAAAGGCCAACACCATCTTACGGATGGTGGCAAGCGAGCGTGCAAACCAGAAGCCACGTGGGTAAGAACAGTTACACGGAGAAATCAAAACACGTGAGGAGTGTCCGGAAGTAAGCTCAACAGCAGGTAGGAGACCTACGTACCGCTGCAGAAGGCCCGGGCGAAGCACGGCGCAGGCTCCCCGAGTTCACCGCATGTCCGACGTGCCTCCACGGAGCAGCTCTGCCCCTGCCCCACCGCGCTACTCCAGTGTCGCGCCACTCCGAATCAATGTTTTAAGAGTGTCCTTAAATAGTATCAATAGCAATTAGAGGGGAAAATCCTGATCTCATCCCCAGACCCAGTTAATTGTCGCAACATTGACTTACTCTAATTTGACTTCTCACTCCAAATTAAACCCACGTTACTGAAGGAGGGACCGCAGGCAAACTCTCCCCGCTCACCCCCTCCCCTTCAAGACAATAAATTTAATATTGAATACACTTGGAAAAAAAGGCAGTTGTTGCAAGATCCATACTGAAAGATCTCCCCCCCCCGCTTTTTTTTTTTCTTCCTGCGAGTAATTAAAAGATGCTTTTCTTGACTAATGATCACCCTGTTTAGAAATGGGAAGTCGATACTCCTTCACCAGCAGTCAGCTTCAATTTGTCACAGGGCTCCCGAAGTTTGAGCGGCGGTTCTCAGCGCTGCTGGTAATTGCTGGAACCAATTACCAGCCTTCCCAAGCTGACCTAATCAGGGACCCACGGACAGCACGGCTCAGAGGCCAGCTGGTCCCCTCTCCCTTTCGCGTTCACCTATTCGCCCGCGCTTGGGTTTTCTGCCGCTTTGCCAACTTTTCATGCTCACCGGGAGCTCGTGTTTATTCCTCTTTCCTCCCCGTAATCACGCCAACACCCTCAGTCTGAACTTGGCCTTGTGCTACTGCTTTGCTTTGCGCCGCTTCCTTGGGGATCCTGTGGCACCTGCGCTCCCACAACCTGCCCTGCCTTCCACTTGCACGCTAGAGGCCGTCCAAGGTGCTGCCTTTGATCCAGAGGCACCGAATGACCTGGAGATCTGCTTATTTTATAAGCAGTCTCTCGGACTTGGTGAGATCTGGCATGTGTTAGCATTAGAGGACATACCCAGGGCAAAAATATCCCTGACAAAAGTAACAGGAGTAATGCCTTTTGCTACAAAACTCTCCGGCTTTGAGTTCACACTCTCCGATCCAAGACCCCTTCTGACCTTCAAAATGCGTTTCCAGGTTTATCCTTCCCCATGACTTTCTCAGACAAAGAGTTTTTACGAGAATCTGAGTGGAGCAGGAAAGGATGGCAGTATGGTATGTTTAATGTGGCTCAGGTTTGGTATTGGTTCAGCTTACTTTTCAGCGTACAAAATTAAAAACGCAAGCTGTACTCGCAGCGTGGATTAGCTCTATTCTTACAGATATTGGTGACATATTCCTGAGTGAGACTCCTTAATTACGCCATGGCCTATAGTAGCCATTTGACAATCCCTCCTGCAAAACATCAGTCTCCCTGGGTCTCTTCACCCTTCCCTCTACTCAACAGAAATGCATGGGATGCCACTGCAGTAACTCAGTCATCAGTGCAGACTGCTCCCAAGCTGAAGAGACTCTTCTGAAGCCATGTCAAGACCTCCAGGTTCCTTTTCGTCCAGCACGTGAATGCTCCTCGAGCCTCGCAGCCCAACAGATTCAGTATTTGTGGAGCAGTCAATAACCCTTTTTTTTTGCGCCTAGAAAGCCTGTGCGTTTTCACTGATGGCTTCACCTCCAATAGAAAGACACATCATGGAATGGTGAAACCCATGAATGTCTGATCCCCTCTACAAACGTCTATTAACATCATTGTGCTGACAACTTTTGATGCTTTGGGGGGCGCACAGCGGAGACGGAAGAGTTAAGAGACATGCCTATCATAAAGAAACAAATGAGAAGACTGTATTTGTCTAAGGTCTTTGACTGATGCTCTGTGCTAAGCCTTTGAATCAGTTGGGGGAACAGTTAGGAAATCTTCTGTTCTTGGGTTTCCTACACTTTGCTTGCAGGCACAAGCCTGAAGGTCTGAGCAAACACGTGGAAAGCCATGGAGGGTGGATTCATGGGTACGTGTAGTGGAACTGAAAGGGGAGCGCTACGCAGGACAGATGTAGTAAGTGGGGCTGCAGAAGGAAACGGGGGTATGAACAAGTTCAGGAGAAACTTGGAGGAAAACATGGGAGTACTTCCCTCTCCCAGTTGGTGGGGTTTTGGTGAGAACTCATTAAAGCAGGAGCATGTTGAGTGTGTGAACCTTTGCATACAGCAGCTCTCAGACTCCAGCTGATCCCAGAGCCCACCAGCATGGGCAAGAACAGCCCCCCAACACTAGCTATCAGCTCTCTTCCCCTTCAGAAGAATTTTTGCTGAATGATTCTTTCTTCCCTGATCTCCAAATACCCTTGGACTCCCTCCACCAGAACCCCAAACCTCAGCTCCCCCGTCATCCTTCTGCTTGCTTACTTTCTTGCCTCTTCCCCCAGTCCCTCAACTTCAGCTTCCTCTTCCCCCTTCAGTCTCTCAACAGCAAAAAGAGGAGGGTTTGCTTAACCCCACTTCAGGTCCCTTGTAGCTGCTGCTGGTAGGATTCCTCATGCAAAACTGCAAACGGCAGAGAGAAAATGGAACACGTAACTTCTGTCTAAAGAACTTCAACTCATTTTCTTGCCACATCTTAGACAGAAGAATTACGATGCTAGTAGAGACCAAAGTACAAAAGGAGGCACACGCTTTCAAAGAGCAAACCTTTCAGATGTTTATGTGAAAAATACCACTTCAGTCCCCGCTGCACACAGTGGAAAAAATGGGAGTAGCAAAGCAAGATTACAATTGCTCTATGGGAAAATTTTCACGTAATCTTAATTCTATTTTTTCTAACAGCTCTTCCATCATGTAAGTGTGCACTTGGACACACAGAAATGCCTATTTATAAAACGAATCTTTATATCTTTTTGTTCAAAAATGTTAAGAGTCTGGGGAAAAAAGTGCAATTATGTCACTGACAAACACAAACAGCTGAATATAAACACGAAGATGTACAGAAGCAAAGAAGAATCAAAGTAAGTCCTGAGCATGAAATAAAAAGAGGATAAAGTTGATTTTCGGTAAGTAAAACTCACTTCCAAACACAAAAACCTGAATAATTCAAATGGATGGCTCTCTCTTCATCACAGTCCTGTGATTTTTTATGATAAAATCTTTATTACTTTTATACGAAAATATTATTTAAAAAAAAAATCCAATTGAGTGCTTGCCTTTTCCTTTTAAAAGTATTTAGAATTGAGGTACCTCTCCAGCTCACCTCAGTAGTAAGAAGCAACATGTATTTCTTGGTTGCAACAATATCACGTCTGGATTAAAGTAATACTAATGACTGAAAGGCAGCAGTAAGTTCATCTCAATCTACCTGATAAAATCTTTATATTAGCTCTCTAAGAATATACACATATACAGCAGACATATAGTTAATGTGTAAACAGAATCTCTGTGTAGGTCTCCCTGAATGTTTTTATACGCACAGTCATTCATCTAAGTAGCCCGATTAACGTACTGGCTTCATTCTCGAAGATGAACCAAAGGTGGCACCACAAATTCATTTTTCAGTGCTAACGAAATAATGCAATAAGAAACAGTTGACTTTATGACAGACAACAGTACAAACCTACTCCGATACCGCTGGAGGTAGCCCAGGTATGTGCTCTCCCAGGTTATAATTTCACCTGAGCCGGTACTGAAAAAAGCAGGATCCAGAACATAAACAAAATCAGAATAGAATTCCCTCCGACTTCTCTCATAGGCAGGAGGCAAACGCCAAGAGCTAAACCTCCATCATGCCGTTTGCTACCTGGGGACCGACCCGTGCTCGGGTGCAGGCTGCCCCCCTGGAGCTCCCCCTAAAGACAATCATAACCCACTTCTGAAGACAACTTCAAAGGTTGGCCCAGCTGCGCAAGGTAGTCCAGAAGGTCTTTCTCCTGCTTGAACCCCCCTGCTGAAATGCAGTCTGCCAGATGTCACTGCTTCCCCCAAGCCAATACCTTAGTTATAACTATTAGCACTTATATTTTGTATTTTGAGAACATCTTCCCCCTTTGACAGCGATCAGATAAATTAAGCAGAAAAACCCTTTAGCTTTTGGTAGCTGGACTTTCAACATCTGTGATGAGAACCCAAAGACCTGATGGCCTGGATGAGACTGAAAGCAGATTATTAATCACAAACCGATAGTGCAAGAGCCAGGAACTTTGTGGCTGACTGAAACAAAGAAACGCATTACAGTATAATTTAGATTGAGGAACAACCGGGTGGGACGTTTCAATCTCCCACTGTTTTGTCCGTCAGTCAACCGAACAAAAAAAAAAAAAAATCGTAGAGCTGCCGAGGAAACCTTCACAAAAGTGAAAAACTAACAGGGTCACCCAACTTTTGACACCCACCCCCCCCCACCTCTGACACATGTTCTTCATGGGCATGCAGCGAAGAGAGAGAGATATATATGTAATGATTTATGTAAGGCTTACTCCAAGGGAGAATTTTAAAAGCCCATGTTGTAAAAAACATCGCAACGCCCTACCACCTCTGACTGCAACGCCAAAAATGAGCATTTATGTGCCCTTACAGCTTTGGCCATGTGCTGTAGGCATGTTGTTGGCATCTCGCTGCCTGCCACGGTGAGATGGAGTCGGAAAGCCTACCTTGTGGAGTCTGATGAAGGTTTCATATGGCCTTGGCTGCTCTCCTCCCAGACGCTGTTTGCCAGCTCGTTCCCGATAGAAGACATCACCTTGATGAGCTCTATAGGCCAGTCATCCAGGTCGAGAGAGCGGACCCGGGAGAGGTGTGTGCCAAGGTTTCGGTGTATACCTGAGCATTCGATACATATGAGGGCTCCCAGATTCAAGCTGGCCCAGTCGGGGTCTACGGGAAAAGGGATACAAGCAATTAGTACAATGACACACCTAACAAAACCTTCTAGTTAATGTTTGTGGATAAAGATTTTGGCTCCAAGGCGGGGGGCGGGGTGGGGGGGGGAAAGCAGGTGTCCTGTCCAAAAGCACAGCTGGAAGGCCTTCCAGAAGGGTCAGTTTTGCCCTGTGGACATAACAACCCTTCTGAGAAACCCTCAAGGAGTAAAAAAAATTGTGTGTCTCCAAAGATGCATCATCCCACCTTCAGTCAAAAGAGAAGTATGACTCAGAGAGAAAAGAAGAAACACGAAAATATAAACGCAGTGGCAGACAGCTGATGATGAAGTAGTGGAGAAAGCCCCTCCTTGGGAATCTAGAGCCACTCGTAACCAATTACAAGGGAAAAAGGAGGAAAAAAAAGAAAAGAGCGACTAGATACAATGTCTCTGTTGCTAACTATATCAACTCCCTTAATAACCAGCTGTATCATCACCTACACATGGCTTTTACATCTAACGCACTATGGGGCATGTTTTCATCTCTAAGATCAGGGAGATAAGTACTAAGATGAAAATGTGATACTTTGAACAGCCCCAGTTTTAGTGTATGAGCCGGAAGGATTCCACCGACACACACACACACACGCACAAAATAACCCCGCGAACGACAAGGCTGTGACAAACCTGACAAAAGCCGGGAAACTCAAAGTCATCTCCCAAGATGGTTCACTTTTTTGTCACCGTCCTGTGTTATTTAAATCTAGATTTGTATGACTCTGCCTCTCTCCAACAAACATTCGTTTTAACAGACGCAATGAAAGACGTATGGGAGGAATTTTTGGTGGCTTTTTTTACTCCCCCCTGCTGTCAGATCTTTTCTTCTCGCCTTACCCTGGGCCTCCCAAAGAACTAGTAGGCTATCA